TTATCGAATAAACATTTAATTCATCAAATCAACACCAAATTAACATTCAATTCAACAAATTAACATTTTGTTTCCTATAATAAACATTCAATTCATTAAATTAACACTAAATTAACATTCAATTCATCAAATCAATACCAAATTAACATTCATTTCATCAAACTAACACCAAATTAATATAAATTGTACGAATTGAATATATATTTGGTATTGATTTCATCAATTGAACAAAAATTTGGTGTTAATTTGACGAATAAATATGTATTGGATGAATTTAATGTTAATAGTTGAATTTAAATGTTAATTTTATTAATTGAATGTTTATTAGATAAAATGTAATGTTAATTTAGCGTTAATTTAATGAATTAAATGTTTATTTGATTAATTTTCATATTACTTTGGTGTTCATTTGATAAATAGAATTTTTATTGGATTATTGTGGATGTTAATTTTGATAAATTGAGTGTTAATTAGATGAATTGAATTTCGATTTAGTGTTAATTTAATGAATTGAATATTAATTGGATGAATTAAATTTTAATTTGATGAAATTGAATGTTAATTTAATGAATTGAATGTTTCTTTGATGTTGCTTATTTTGTGTTGGGTTACACCCTTTTTGGAGTTACGAGTTGCGACGGATGTGGATGATGGATCCAATAAAAGTAGGAACTGAATTTTTTCAAAAAATTCAACTGTTTCCTAAGGAAACATCCTTTCCATATTTTTTTTCAAAAAAATACTTTGCATCTCAAAAATATTTTTTATTCTCAATTTATATGTACCAGTAAAGGGATAGAGAGAAGGTAAGAGAAATGATTTGGCTAGGAAAAGAAAAAAAAAAAGACGGGAACGGGGTAGAGAGATAAGGTTATTGTGGACCATCCAAAATAAATGAATAAATAAATAACTTGATAAATAAACATTGTCATATTTTAGGGGCGTAAGTGTAATTTGAATTAAGACCGGCCGTTGGAACAAGCGATCGATCTTCGTGTAATATGATACTTTAATCCTTTCATATTACATTTTTGTCCTTTGATATTATACTTTTAACGTGTTGATATTACACTTTTAATATTTTGATATTATAATTCATCAAATTAACATCCAAATTAAAATTCAATTCAACCACATTTTACCTGAATATTCCCCCCCCCCCCAATTCATCCAATTTTCTCTCTCACCCTCACTTAATGCCAGACACCTTCACGCCTTCTTTCTCTCTCTCTGTTAAGACTTCTCTCTCTCCACCATCGCCCCCTTCAGGTGTATATCTCTCTCTCCATGATCTACCATCACCACAGCCCCACATCAATATTTTGGTTTCTATTGTTATTTTATTTGTCTGAACCTCTTGTTTCCTCACCTCATCATCCAAACATCAATGTGGTTGTGGAACTCTTAAAACAAGGCTTGTTCTTTACCCTACATGTTAATCTTATTGTTGAATCTCTTTTTTGTCCTTTGAGGTTTAATTACTGTAAATTAGAATTAATGAAGATTCTTTTAATGTATTTATTCATAATTTTTCAGGGATTATTGAGTTGAATGTTGAGCCATATGATGAAGATCGGGGGACAGTCGAACTATGATACATTCGGGTGACCAATGTGGTTAATATCAATGAATGAATAGAACTTACTTACTAAAAAAGCTTAATGGTTAAGTTTTGTAATATTGTCTAATATAATAGATAATGATCAATTTCTGCAGATGGCAGTAACCACACATAACACGTCCCTTCCTGCCAGTGAAAGATATAAAAATTGTTGGTAGCAGAGTTTGTAGTATGACTGCCCTTCATATAAGTCCCACAACGAGTGCAACCCTCATCTGGGTTGGTTTTTTTTTATCAGATTGGACTGGATTGGTTTAATGTGACATTTTTGTGTAAATGCAGCAAAAGTACAAGTCTGGGATCAGATGTTGTTGTGGTTGATCCTCCTAGGAAGGGGCTAGACCCATCTATGGTTAATGTATTGCGGATTACATCATCGATGGAGCACAAAGCCAAGTTACCTGAAGGGTAATTCTGTTTCTGTGATTCTGTCCAATTGAAATCTAGAATATCAATGAAGATTCAAGCAATGCAATACTTTGAGGACATTTACCACTTGAAAAGATGGTACTTACATTAATTGATTATTTGTACTTCAATCTTAGCTTAAATCTTAAAGATGAAAAGAGACGTTCAATTCTACATGCAAGAGAAGCTTCGGTTCAAATTCAAAGCAGAACAACACAGGAGGCAATACAGTCACTGCCTCAGACTCTTATCTTATTTGTATAAGTTGTGGATGGGAAAGTTTTAAAGAGTTGTTTGTGGCTTTTATGCTATACATGGTTCCTGATAACTGCCATGTAGTAAGATCAGGTTTTGCTTTCATTTTCAAAGTGGAAGAGTGAATCATTTTATAAAGCTTCTAATACAACAATTGTCTCACAGGATTGCATGTCATTGCTCTTCAGTAAGGCAGGACATTTGGACAAAGCCTATGGTTTCAATTTCTTCCCACGGAGCATTTTGAGTTAAACTTATCTGGGTTCATCTTAGCATTATTGTTTAACCGATTTTGAGTGTGTAACATATTGGGACAAAAGATAAGCGCATGTCCTAATGCAATTGTGCAAATTAAATATTTTTCTTCATAAGTTTTCATATTCTCCAACATATTCATTGGTTCTTGTGAACGCCAAAGATAGGAAGTTATATTTGATTGGCTTCTTAGGAAAAAAATATAAAGGCTCCCATGTGGTTGCCTTAATTTGTACACCGCATGGACTGCATTGTTTGCTGATTTTTTACTTTTGCATTACATTCATAATATTATTGATGTTTCATCCATTAACAATGATGTGGGCTATGCTGTAGCATTGAGGTATTGGCCATCTTTAAAAGAGGCTTAGGAGTACCTGTGAAGAAAAAGAAATCAAAAAAAAAAAAAAGAAATCAGGTCATAAAACATGCAAATTGCAAGTTCAAGACGAGATTATTTTGGATTAGGGGGTTACAGAGGGGAAATTTGAACTACATTTCTTCTGTAGTTATTTGAAATTCCCACAACTATAATGAGTGTACGAGTTTTTTTTTTTTATGATTGTAGACTGTACAAGGTGATAATGAACAAATATGATGTTCGTTACAATGGAGATTTATTAGATGAATTCACCCTACCAACATATCAGTGGTACAAATTAAACTCTGAAATCTGCTGCAAAATTTTGAACTCAACACTTTCGTGTAATTATCGTCTAAATATAAATCAAATAAATACACTGATATGTGGCCAAGTGATTTACACTGTTGAATTTGCCAGTGAAACAATGCAATAAGAACATTAACAACGCTTAGTCGCACAAATAAACACTCTGAGGTATGGATTTTTGGCTTGGAATCATACATTTTTCACCCTCTTCATGTATAATCTGTAATTGATTTATTTTTCATTTCCACTTTCTTCTCTCTCTATTTATTGATTTATTGTTGGATCAGGGATAATTCAGTTACATATCCCTCTATTTTTCATGTAACTATAGTATGATATAATGAAAACATACTTGTACCATTTATTCAACATCACCATGTATAAGATAAAAAAAACAAAAATGAAAAAAGTAAAGCTATGGAAGCATATAAAATCCGGATCCAAACATTTCCTCAAGAACTTCATCAGATCATCAAGACTTGATCTTTGGTTCCCAAGCTAGCAACTCCTTCTCCTTTGTGATGTCTGGTTTTCTCTGGCGGGGATCATCTGGTGTGTTCTCCACAGTTCAAGCATTGTAAATTCACCTGATAGTTAAAAAAAATTGAACTAGTAACAGCTACAAGATCATAATTTCTGCTAAGAAAGAAAAAGAAAAAGATTGGAAGATTGTATTTAAGCACAAATATTATTGTGCATCAAGTCAATCAAAATAACCTGGGTTCTCAATATTGATTGGCCCAGTATTATCTCTTTCCATAAGTCGGATCAGACCATCAACCTTCAACATTTGTAAAGAAGAGTAAGGCAACATAGAATTCTGTAGTTCTAACGCACTTGAGATTCAATTTGAAAGGCCAAATACATAATGCCCTTCATACCATGTTAGAGACATAACAAAAGCTCCGAGTTTGTGTTCCAGGCAACTGAATAGTCAAGGGTTCATCTCTGCATGAATCAACAAGAACAAGTAGATATAGTTAAAAGTTTAACTACAACTGTCAACTATTTATCTCATGCTCAAGTAATGGATGGTGTTGGTGTATACAAAGGAGCATGCTAAGTAAAGAGTTCATAATTATGCATATTTGCGATGAAATTTAAGAACTGCATTAGTTTTTTAGAACTTTTGTGATTAAATTTAGCATACAATTTGCTCGAAAGTCAACCCACAAGTGGGCTCATGTTTAATAAGTTTTATTAAACATGATTAAACAAGACTTCTAATTGATCAAATGAATTAATAAGGAAACAGAGTCACTTAATTATTGAACAAGAGCTAAAGTGATAGCTTTTTTACTTCGAGGATGTCCTTGGTCTTTCCTATCATCAATAAAACATTAATTTCTGATCATCAAAAAGAAGTATTATACTAACAAGGAGTAACCACTATGATATGCTTAGTTCACCTGCTACAACACATAATTCTCATAAATTTTGACAGCTACTCTCTTCATCTAAAATTGTGTATTCCAAACACCATGAAGAAAAGGTCCTTCAAGCAAAAGAATAAGGTGCATGTACCTTAGGAGCCAGAACAAGCATGAATATAAGTGTCAATTCCCGAAGAAATGCAGATGTATCTGAGAATCCGGTAGCAACATGAGGGTAAACCTAGTCAAAATCATTACCAACAATATTCACTGTCCCAATCTATCATGATTAAGAAGGATTAAAAATGTTGTGCTAAGAACATCAATAAAATCAATGTGCTTGAATCATATTTAAGTATAATCATCTTATGACTTGTTGCATACTTGCTCGTCAACAATTTGTGTTGACAATGACTACCCATATTGATCAATGTGTTGTAGCAGACCAACTCGAATAGCCCAATCGTTGGATGCAAAAAGTTTAACAACTGTTAGCAGAACCTACAATATGGCCACAAGAAATCTTACAAGCTAAATACACTAAAATAATAACCACAAAGAAGCCACAACACAAAACTAAGGAGTATGACCTTAACGCTAAATTCTTTTGTCGAAAGACATGAACCCATTTTCAACAATGCAATCAAAGCAGGGGCAGCAACCGAACCAAATTCTAAGGACGAAGCTAGTAAAAGAAGTAACTACAAAAATCAGAGGACAAGATGATGAACATGAATTAAAAATCACAACAAAATAAAAGTAAAACCTCCTCCAATAAAAATTGGGTAGGCATCTTTTTCAGCACAATTTGGCGAGGAAGCTGCTCTGCTAAATTTGGAAGCTTACGGAATAATGTATCTTTTCGACACTGTTCTTCAAATTAAGAATTCCATGAACTGTATGGTCCCCACCAATTTATTTTGAAAATATTCTGCAAATAAATGTTTTGCAGTTTAATATCGACACAAGAAAACATAAGGGACGAAAAAGCAATCCAATCTTGGATTAAGTAAAGCAATGTAAGATAAGTGAAACACGTAACGAAAGATGCAAACAAAAATGACTTTTTGTGGGCATTTCGTTGAGCAGTTAGTGAGTGTGTGGTGGCAGACAGTGATGATTAGCGTTGGGATGGGGATGAAGGTTACATAGGGGTGTCGCTGGCGTGGCATACTGGCAGTCGTTGGCGATGGTGGTACCCGCTGGCGAAATGACTAAAATGCCTGAGAAGCCCTAGTAGAAATCAAAAATCAAAAATTCTAAATTTTGCAAAATAAACCCTAAATCTGGGAGAGGATGAAGGGGGTGTGGGGCTGTGCTGATGGAAGATCGTGAAGAGAGAGAAAGAGAGAGAGAGAGATATACCTGGGAGGGGGCGATAGTGGAAAGGGAGAGAAGTCTTAACAGACAGAAGACGTAAAGGTGACTGGCATTGAGTGAGGGTAAGAGAGAAAATTGGATGAATTATAATATTTAAAAGTGTAATATCAAAATCTTAAAAGTATAACATCAAAGGATGAAAGTATAATGTCAAAAGATTAAAGTGTAATATTGAACGAGTATCGGTCGCTCATTCCAACGGCCGGTCTTAATTCGCATTACACTTACACCCCTAAAATATAACAATTTTTATTTATCCAGTTATTTATTTATTCATTTATTTTGGATTTACATGGTCCACAATAACCTTATCCCTCGTTCTCGCTCTTTTTTGCCTTTCCCGCCCAAATCACTTCTCTTAACTTCCCTCTATCCCTTTACTGGTACATATAACTTGTTTGAGAATAAAAAATATTTTTGTGATGCAAAGTATGTTTTTGAAAAAAAAAATTGGGTGAGATGTTTCCTTAGGAAAAAGTTAAATTTTTTGAAAAAATTCAATTCCAACTTTTATTGGATCCATCATCCACATCTGTCACAACTCTAAAAAAGTATAACCCAACACAAAATTTTATCAAAGCAACATCAAAGTAACATTCAATTTCATCTAATTAATATTTAATTCATCAAATTAATATCAAATTAACATTTAATTCACCCAATTAATATTCAGTTCATCAAATTAACACTAAATCGACATTCAATTCATCCAATTAACACTCAATTTATCAAAATTAATATCCAATAAAATTTAATTTATCAAATCAACACTAAAGTAATATGAAAATTAATCAAATAAACATTTAATTCATTAACTCAACAATAATTAACATTACATTTCATCTAATAAATATTAAATTAATAAAATTAACATTTAAATTCAACTATTAACATTAAATTCATCCAATACATATTCATTCGTCAAATTAACACCAAATTTATGCTCAATTGATGAAATCAATACCAAATATATATTCAATTCATACAACTTATATTAATTTGGTGTTAGTTTGATGAATTGAATGTTAATTTGGTATTGATTTGATGAATTGGATGTTAATTTGGTGTTAATTTAATGAATAGAATGTTTATTATATGAAAACGAAATGTTAATTTTTTGAATTGAATGCTAATATGGTGTTGATTTGATGAATTAAATGTTTATTCGATAAATTTCTATATTACATTGGTGTTGGTTTGATAAATTGAATTTTATTAGATGATTTTTTATGTTAATTTGATGAATTGAGTGTTAATTGGATGATTTTGAATATAAATTGGATGTATTGAATGTTAATTTAGTATTAATTTGATGAATTGAATATTTATTTGATGAAATTAAATGTTAAGTTAATTTGATGAATAAATTATTTATTAGATGGAATTGAATGTGAATTTGATGAATTGAAAGTTAATTTAGTGTTAATTTGAAGAATTGGATATTAATTTGTGGTTAATTTGATGAATTAAATATTCATTGGATGAAATTGAATCTTAATTTGATGAATTTAATTTTAAATAGTTAATTTAATGAATTGAATGTTTATTATACGAAATGAATTGTTAATTTGAATGTTAATTTGGTGTTGATTTGATGAATTAAATATTTATTCAATGATCTTTGTGCAGTAGACTTTCTTCTTCAGTCAGACTCTTAGGCAGTTGTATTATGGAAGCTGCATTTAATTCCAAGACATATCTTTTGGCAGTTAGGCTTCATGTTCAGCTGGAACGCTTAAAAGGTTTCCAATTCAACTAGAATGTTCCTACATCAGTTGGACCTTTTATTAATGAAGGCAGCATGCTTAGGATACATTTATTTTTATTATTTATTGTATTAAGCATGCATATTTTGCTTTCTTTTATTTATTTCATTATTCCATGTAAAACAAAATATTTATTCATTGAATTTTTATATTATTGGTGTTGGTTGATAAATTGAATTTTTGTTAGATGATTTTGGATGTTAATTTGATGAATTGACTGTAAATTGGATGAATTTCAATATATATTAGATGTTTTGAATGTTAATTTGGTCGTTAATTGGATAAATTAAATATTTGATGGATGGAATTGAATGTTAGGTTAATTTGATGAATTAAATGTTTAATAGATAGAATGTGAATGCGAATTTACGGAACTTGAATATTAATTTGGTGTTAATTTGATGAATTGAATGTTAGTTGGGAGTTGATTTGAATAATTGAACGTTAATTGGTATTAATTGATGAATTGAATGTTAAATAGTTAATTTAAATGTTAATTTAATGAATTAAATATTTATTATTCAAAAAGAAATGTTAATTTATTAAATTGAATGTTAATTTGGTGTTAATTTGATGAATTTAAATATTTATTAGATGATTTTTTTATTTTAATATGATGAATTGAATATTAAATGTTATTAGATGAAATTGAATGTTTAATTGTTGAATTGAATATGAATTTGGTATTGATTTGATGAATTAAATGTTTATTTTATGAAATTGTATGTTATTTGATGTTGATTTTGTTAAATGAAACTTTATTGGATGACTTTCGATGCTAATTTGGTTTAATGAGTGTTAATTTAATGAATTTGAATATAAATTAGATGAATTGAATGTTAATTTATGAATTGAATGAAATTAATTGGATGTGATTGAATGTTAAGTTGATGAATTAAATGTTTGTGAGATGGAATTGAACATTGATTTGAAAAAATTGAATGTTAATTGTTATTTATATAATGTTATTGGATGAAATTGTGTGTACTTTGGTGTTAATTTGTTAAATTGAATTTTTTTTTAACGGATTTTCGATCTTAATTTTATGAATAAATGGTAATTGAATGAATTTGAATATAAATTAGATGAGATATTGAATGTTATGTTGATGAATT